TATTGGCACTCCACAGTACCGCTTCCCTGGCACCCCCATCCCTGGCACCCCTTCCCTGGCACCCCTTCCTTGGCACCCCTTCCTTGGCACCTCCTTCCCTGGCACCCCTTCCATGGCACTCCCTTCCCAGGTACCCCCTTGGCACCTCCTTCCTGGCACCCCTTCCATGACACTCCTTCTCTGGCACCCCTTCTCTGGCACCCTTCACCTGGCAGCCCTTCCCTTGGCACCCCCTTCCCTGGCACCCCTTCCATGGCAACCCTTCCCTTGGCACCTCCTTCCATGGCACCCCTTCACCTGGCACCCCTTCCCTGGCACCCTTTGCTCACTAGGGCCAAGTGGTACTCCCTGGTATCCCTCATCGATCCTCCGTTCACTAGAGCCAAAACGGCACTCTTTTACCCTTCTCTGCCGGCAGTGAGAGAGAGAGAGAGAGAGAGAGAGAGAGAGAGAGAGAGAGAGAGAGAGATTCTTCAACTTGTTGCTTGTTTTCATTCATGTATTCACGGATTCAGAAGAGAAAGAGGAACAAGAGAAGACATCTATGGTTTTAAGAACGTGAGGTAGAATGGCTTTATAGAGTTAAACAGACAAACAGACAAACAGTACCGAAAATAATATGCTACCCCACAGTTACGGGTAATGTATAGATAGAGCATTAGTTTAAAGGAACTGATTCAATATTACACAAATAATATAAGTTTCATATAGAGACACCTGCCAACCACCTCATCTGGGAAGGAAGTATGATGGCTGAGGAAGGTGTCAATCAGTTAAAATACTATGCTAATATTCCTGGTTTATTTTGTTGTAATTTTTAACGTATTTTTATACATTTTCAAATATATTTGTAACTTATATTTAATTGTTCAAACAAAATTCAGACCTGTAACTATACTAAAGTGACTTGACATGTTCTGATAATTACTGCTGACACCAATTGCTCAGGCTTCGTTCCGGTGACGTTATACCCAACAGCAGGTGTTTAGACAGTTGCCAGATAATGTTTTTTTTTACGTCATTGATTTCTTAATTCTTATAATATTCATTTAATTCCCATAAAATATTAACAATAACACGTAAAAAAAAACCCACTGGGATTGGTTATAATTTTTAAGTTTATTTCCTCTTATTTGACAATATTTTTACTCTCTATGAAACACTTTTATTGCAACACTTTAGCTCAAGCAACATTTCTTCATTTCATTTTACACTTGATATCTTCTTTCTCATCTTTGTGACGCGTTTATTGTTTCTCTGCAATATAATTCATCTATCATTCCTCATATAGTTTCTTGGTCTGTTTAAACTCTTATAATAATCTTTTTCTATCATCATTCATCTACCCACCTTTTTTTGGATCATGTTTCACCATTATTTTATAGTTCTTTCAATACACACACACACCTCTCTCTCTCTCTCTCTCTCTCTCTCTCTCTCCGTCCAGCAATAAATGAGTTAGTCAGAGTTAAAAAAGTTTGAAACAAGATATTATTGTTCATAAAGAGAGTCATACAAGAGGCCGGAGAATCCTTTAAGTAGGGAGTATGTATGCAGGAAATGCTAGCCGGAAATAAACCCAGCCTCGTTTTATACAACCCGGAACAATCTCTGAAAGTTTTAATCCGGTGGTTTAAGTCTGTTATTGTACGATAAATAACATAACGTGACGTGCAAGAGAGAGAGAGAGAGAGAGAGAGAGAGAGAGAGAGAGAGAGAGAGGTGAAAGAGAGAGAGGGAAGATAGAGAGAAAATATGAGTATAAAAGAAAGTGTGAAGGAAAGAAGAATAAACGTGAGAATGAAAGTACTCGTGTGTGTGTATAAATTCACATATATGGTTGGATATGTTTGCTTTGGTGTTTATATGAGTGTATGTATGTGCGTTTATATGTTTGTATATGTGTTTACGTAGCCAGGATGTACTTGGTGTTTATGTGTAGACGTACCCGAGCGAGAATCAGGGTGGTTCCTTAATATCTGAAATGTTATAAACAACAACAACGACAACAACAACAACAACAACAACAACAACAACAATAACAATAATAATAATAATAATAATAATAATAATAATAATAATAAGTGAAATATTATTAAACTTCTCAAATGAAACAAATAAAACTATACATAATAATATTATTTAGACGTGTGTATATATGTGTGTTTGTTCATCCTTGTGTTTGTTCATTCTTGTGTTTGTATATATGTATGTTACCTTAGGTGTTTGTTTGTGAAAAAAAATTTAAACGTGTGAAATTAATATAGTGATTTGTTTGTGAAGTAATCAGGCAATGGATAAACAGGGGACTGCTACACACACACACACTCTCTCTCTCTCTCTCTCTCTCTCTCTCTCTCTCTCTCTCTCTCTCTCATAATATATTAGTGTGCAGAACGTGATACTTTTCTCCGCCTCCCGCCCACCTCGCTAATGTGTTCCGGTCGGCCTAACTGTGTATACCTGACATACACCTGGAATATACCTGACATGCACCTGGCATATACCTGACATACACTTGGATATACCTGACATACACCTGGAATATACCTGACATGCACTTGGAATATACCTGACATACACTTGGAATATACCTGACATACACTTGGAATATACCTGACATACACTTGGAATATACCTAGCATATACCAGACATACACTTGGAATATACCAGACATACACCTGGCATATACCTGACATACACCTAGCATATACCTGACATACACTTGGAATATACCTGACATACACCTGGCATATACCTGACATACACCTGGCATATACCTGACATACACCTGGCATATACTTGACATACACTTGGAATATACCTGACATACACCTGGAATATACCTGACATACACCTGGCATATACCTGACATACACTTGGAATATACCTGACATACACCTGGAATATACCTGACATACACCTGGCATATACCAGACATACACTTGGAATATACCTGATATACACCTGGAATATACCTGACATACACCTGGAATATACGTCGGTGTATGGATAATAACAGTTTTATATTTCGTTAATACTCGACTTATATTCAGCCCAAAAAATTATACAGAATGTATATTTTTTTTCAACATCAAACGCGAAATGAATAATAAATTTTTAATATTCTATTGTAAATTTGTTAATATGATGAATAATATAATATATATTTTTACACAAAAACATAGTCATAATTACACACACACACACACACACTTACACACGCCCTTATATACACATACATATATATATATATACACACATATACACACACACTCGACACTGTATACTAAGTCGACGATACACAAGGAAGCACAATAGCTGACACTTCACTGGACCACCTACTGAGACTCGTAACACCGACCCGCTAGATAAGGTGTGAGAGCTGTATCCCTCGGCTGCCGCATCCTACATTCATTATGTACACGTAGAATAAAAAGCAGAACAAGTAGTATTTTACTTTCTGCCCTGACTTCCGACTGGTCCCCAAACTACGCCTCCTTCAGTTCCTCATTATCTTGTTTTGGTGGCACTCAAGTTTTTGGGTGATCAAACAAGAGCCTCATGACGCTTCGAGTCCCGCTGAATCACTCACCTCATGCCTTCTTCATCAGTGCATACGCCCCAACACTGGATGCAGAGGATGACACCAAGGAGGCCTTTTACGCCGACCTCGACAGAGTGCTAACCTCTATCACCAGAGAAGATAAGGTTGTGTGCTCCTTGGTGACTTCAAATGCAGAGTTGGTAGAGAATCTAAAATATGGCAGGGAACCGGAGTGGGCAAGTGTATTCCCAACGCCCAATTCCTTCTCAAGTGTACTGAACACAACCTTACTATCACCAATAACTTCTTTAGGCAGGCCGACAAGTTCAAGGGTTCGTGACAACACCCACGATCCAAACACTGGCATCTTATTGACTACATCATTGTCAGAGAAAGAGATATTATTGGACGAAGGAAGGCTATAGGTAGGAGAATAAAACGTGAAGTCTACCTCCGAGATTATTATAAGGTATTGGCCGGTAGGGTTAAGACCTAGATAAGAAAAGCAAGAGTAATAATGAACTGAAGGTAGCAAAGCAGGCGAAGTCAAACACCAAGGGATTCTTTCAAATGTATCAAACTAAAACACGAGACAAGATTGGACCAATACAGTCAGATACCGGTGAGCTAACTGATAACGACGGAGAAATGAGCAATAATCTGAACAGATATTTTTTAAAAATTTTCACCACCGAAAATTTACACATGATACCCGAGGCACCGACTATATACACTTACCACCATCTTCTCCCCCTACAGGAACTACCACCATCACCCTCACCACCATCTTCTCCTCCTACAGGAACTACCACCATCACCCTCATCACCATCTTCTCCCCCTACAGGAACTACCACCATCACCCTCATCACCATCATCACCATCACCACCATCTTCTCCCCTACAGGAACTACCATCACCCTCATCACCATCTTCTCCCCCTACAGGAACTACCACCATCACCCTCACCACCATCTTCTCCCCTACAGGAACTACCACCATCACCCTCATCACCATCTTCTCCCCCTACAGGAACTACCACCATCACCCTCATCACCATCTTCTCCCCCTACAGGAACTACCACCATCACCCTCACCACCATCTTCTCCCCCTACAGGAACTACCACCATCATCACCATCTTCTCCCTACAGGCACTACCACCATCACCTCACCACCATCTCTCCTCCTACAGGAACTACCACCATCACCCTCACCACCATCTTCTCCCCCTACAGGCACTACCACCATCACCCTCATCACCATCTTCTCCCCCTACAGGAACTACCACCATCACCCTCATCACCATCTTCTCCCCCTACAGGAACTACCACCATCACCCTCACCACCATCTCTCATCACCATACAGGAACTACCACCATCACCCTCATCACCATCTTCTCCCCCTACAGGAACTACCACCATCACCCTCACCACCATCTTCTCCCCCTACAGGAACTACCACCATCCGCATCACGGGGGTGCGGGTCCCGGAGCGGGTGGAGGCAGGGGGGGAGGGCCAGCTGGAGTGCTCGTGGCAGGAGGAACTAGACCATATGTACTCCATCAAGTGGTATCAAGGCGCCCACGAGTTCTACCGGTATACGCCCACCGCCCACGACCCCGTCCAGATCTTTGACCCGCCCACGCTGGATGTTGACGTGAGTATAACGCCCACTCAACCTATGTCCACCAACTCGCCCAATCTACCTAGCCTCCTAGTGGCTACCCACCCTACCTGTGTACACCCACCCTCCCTGTGTACACCCACCCTCCCTGTGTACACCCACCCTCCCTGTGTACACCCACCCTCCCTGTGTACACCCACCCTCCCACGTACTCGTAATATTTACTCCTAACACAACACAGAATAATAACACAACACAGATAATACCACCCACAGTACGACACTACGGCTCTGTATAAGGCGACCAACTCTCACTTATATATGTTGATGTACCTTCGTGTCCCTTACCTAAACACTATTATTATTACTAACAAAGGACTGGATCCTAATGAGCTACTGTGTTAAGAGAAGGACAATGTATATTACTATTATTGTTCTTGTTGTTATTAGATGTTATGAATTCACTATGCTGTCTGCTTTAATTTCCATTTGTATACTTTCTTACTTTCTTTGTTTATATATTATTGTAGTCTGTGAATACAATAATAATAATAATAATAATAACTTATTATCTCCTAACTGTCTCAGAGAAAAATTCTCACGTTGTTTCTCATTCTCTGTCAGTATCACAACTCTCTCTCTGTCTCTCTCTCTCTCTCTCTCATGGCCAACATTCCAATAACTTACTCTCATATCTTCTCGTATACTGTATTCTATGTCCTTCTCGTCTCTACCTTCTACTCTCCCCATCACTCCAGCGACAGGGGTCATAGTTGCCCCCCCCCCCTCTCACCCAGGGAACGAAATGGCACTTCATCTTCCTCCTCTTTTTCTTGTAGTGAGAGGAGTATTCTCTCTAGCTTCTCTCACTCTCTCCCCTACAGAGAGACAAAATATGGAGGGTTGGATCGTTCTCTCCTTCATATTCTCCTTCTCACTCTCTCCCTCACAGAAGGAAAAGTCGTGGGGCGGTATAGTGAGGGTCGCCAACGTGAGTCTGGCAGCTGAAGGACCTTTCCACTGTGAGGTGTCTGCCGACGGCCCTACCTTTCACACTGCCTCCGACTCCTCCATCATGACGGTCGTGGGTGAGTAGTGAAGGGAGGGAAGGAGGGGAGAAGATAATGAGGGAGGGAGGCGTAATCTGTAGGAGAAAGGAGGGGGTGTGGAAGAGAAAGAGGGAGGAAGGGAGTGAGGGAGGGAGGGACGTTGGCAAGGAGTTGGCAAAGAGTAGAGAGAGAGAGAGAGAGAGAGAGAGAGAGTGATAGGAGGGAGGAGGGATAGGAGGGAGGGCTGTCAACGGCTCGACCTTCAACACACAAGCGTCCGTCACCTCAGCATAGGGAGTTCGGGACCTGAGTTTACATTCTCTGGAGCATTGCGTTCGAGGTTAGACGAAAAAATGACGTTCTAGTTAAAAAGAATACGTCAATGGATAAACTGATAAACAACTACGTATAAAAAAAACTTTAATATATTAACTAATAAATCACTGACCATATTTAATAAATAATTTTGAATTTATTTGAAGTTGTCTGGAGCAAATTGAAATCATCCACATTCGAACATATCCTGACGTCACTAAAATACACGACCTAATTTACTTTTATACAATTAATGGTTTATTTTTTTTACCCCCTAAGGACAACTTTCCTTAATTTTTGATTCGCTGGATCAAGACTCGGCCACAAGCAGCACAAAACTCATGGTCTTCTGGGAACGAATCATGAGGGCTAATTTTACCACAGACAAAAGAAGCAGATGACACACACACACACACACACACACACACATATATATATATATATATATATATATATATATATATATATATATATATATATATATATATATATATATATATATATATATATATATATATATATATATATATATATATATTATTAGAAAATCTGACTTACATTTCCGAGAAGAAGGTAACACAAGTCTCTGTACAGATTACCAATAATAGATAACCAATAGTTGTTTGAAGTAGGTTCCAGGGTTGGTTATGTGAGTCTTCCTCCTCCTGCTGTTGTTCATGCGAGTCTTCCTCCTCCTGTCGGGGCTGAGGGAGACTAAGAGGAGGAAGTTGGTGTAAGAGCATCAACTATTTTGTCCTCTGGGTTATATTTTCCTCATCTGTTTAGCAATATTGTTTAAATGGGTTTTTATAGCATGTTTTACCTTTGGGTTTAATGAAATATATTTTATGCTGGTGTGTTTACTTTTGTATATAAGAGGAGTTTGGTTTTTATTGATGTTTGAGAAAGGTGAAATTTACTCCCTGTATTGATATCTATTTTTCATTCACACACACACACACACACACTTCTCCCCGTACCTTTCACACCTGCACCATTACTTACTTTTACACCTCCCCCTTCACAACCGCCCACCACTCACTTCGTCATCACCACCTTTCTCTCTCTCCCTCACCTACTCTCCATGGCGTTCCCTCACTATTTCATCTTCACTCTTCTCTCCCTCACAGACATACCAGAAGGAGCACCAGTCATCTCGGGGGTCAGGAGTCAGTACCTGGTGGATGACCTGGTGGACTTGACTTGTACCTCCCGCAGGTCACGACCCCCACCTGACCTGAGCTTCACAATCAACACTCAACAGGTGAGTGACTGTAGACTGTGGACCTGACCTGACCTGACCTTTACTGTCAACTTCCAGCAGGTGAGTATTCGTAGACTATAACTGTATATCCTTCAAATGTTGTTTATTTTAGATCACCTGAATATTCATACCAGCTTATTTCAGCTGAAGATTACCCACCCAGACATTAGATTAACCTAACCTAGCCTAACCTAATCTAACGTAAACTCTCCCCAAAAAGATTACCTCCCCCTCTGGGCCTGATGCATTCTCGGTAATGAAATAGGATGAATTGTGATACCATATGCAAAACCAATAACATCATGAGTAACCCCGCTGATTTATACACCTTAGATACTATTTCAGTCCCAGGGGATGGGTTGTCAAATAGGAATATAATTGTATTATGTGTTCATGAACCAGGGTTACAATGAAATCACTTCGAACGAAATATGAAACAATATGATCCGATATTACATTCATTCGCAAATATAGTGATTACAGGTGTATTATTACGCCATATCCAGGTGTATTATTACGCCATATCCAATTACAATAACATTATGATTTACTGCATTTCGATATTATTTCTACCTCAATTGATGAGGTAATAATTATGAATATAACATATCATCTCATGATTCGTGCCAGAACCATAACATTACGATACACACTACGAGACGATGTCTGTCGGTCCAAGCTGTGTTTTCCAACGAGTCTCAGGTAGTAGTGTTGGTCATGGACTTCCAGAAGAAAACACCCACTACTGTATTTGACTGCTGTTGATATATTTTCACTACATTAATATCATTATATTATTCTACTAAAGATGGAGCACAGTGATTCACCATAATTACAACAAATGCCAGATATAATAATGGGCAACCTCACAGATACTAGGAAGACAGGCCTACCAACATAATGCAGGAATCACAATTAGTGATCAGAAATATTCGTCCATTGTGACACATTGAATTGATGAGAAAAGGGGCCAATACTTTTTTGGGAGTGTGTGCACTGACCCCTTGGTGGTGTGAGTGAGACGAATCTTCCTGAGATGAAACAGTCATGTACAGTATATACTAGCAAGCTTGCTATATCAGACTTAATAGTGGGAGTAAGTTATATAGCTAGATGAGAAAGTTGCTTAGTTGTTGTTGATGATAATGTTGTTTTGAATTTATATGCCTCACCTGCCAAGGGTCATTAAGTGTGGAGGACAGGAAATAGTAATTCACCAGAGAGAACTTTGGAGAAACAATTTACCAAGAGACGGTAATACTCTTTTATTCTTATCTAAGGAATAATACAAGATTTATGTGTCAATTTAGTGATAGTAATTATTTCTCTTTCTCTAAGGAAATATTTATGATTTATCTATAATAATAAAAGAACGTGTCTGTCTGTCTGTTCCAGCCACGTCTCCAAAACAGAAGCAGTTAAAGACCTGAAACTGTACACACACATTAGATGGGTCCCCAGGTTGTGACCTTCTTATTACTATTGACCACCGACCTCCGGGTGGTCCGGGCAAGAACCAAAAGTCTTCCCTGACCGAGATATGACCACGGTGATTGCGGGAGGTTATCCGTGTCAGGGAGGGCAAACTGTGACGATCTAAGTTATACAGTATATACATAACCCGAGCGAAGCCAGGTCATTTTTCTAGGATATCAATATACAGTACGTGTATAAATTCCCTCTTTATTTATCAAAGGAAGAAGATAAGATTTATATATAAAATCTTATATTCATATATGTGTTGTGGGAACCGTTAATAATTACTATATTACTGTATTCTTAATTTAAATTTTAAAATCCTTCATTGTAATAAAAAAATCCAAAATCCCTATTAGACAAGTGAAAGAAAAATACCAAAAACGAAAATACCAACTGAAGAATAATTTATATGCACTAAATATTTACATAATGTAAATGAAAGTAATGAATAGTAAATATGAAGAGAAAATAGCATGTGATAAATATAAGAGACAGAGAGAGAAGGAAGTAACACATCTGGCCACGCTTTTAAGTGTTTGTAAACAGTGTGAGTAAGAGAGAAAACTGCCCAGTTCTGTTTGTTTGTTTGTTTAGTGTTTGTTGGTGTGTGTTTGCTTGAAAGTGTGTGTGTGTGTGTGTGTGAACAACCTGACAGAACATAATAAGTGTTGCATCAAGAATCAACACCATAGGAAGTAACTCAGGTCACAGGTCAAGACTAATGACACTTGGACTTACCTGTGAAGAGCGTAAAGGTCTCCAGATTTTTTGACCATTATAAAGTTCTTTGATATCTTGTCAGTCAGTAAGTCAAGTGATTATTCAGCTTACGGATATTCTTAGTAATATCACGTTCTGAAAATTTATCTAAGTTTTTTAATAGATAAACAACTCGCTAATACTGTTCACCTTGTTGGCTGGCCGCAGGTGTTGGCGGAGTGGGTGGAGCCGCAAACGGACGTGGTGGATGAGGAGGGACTGACGACGTCGTCGCTGCGGATGCAGTTCTCCCTGATGCCAGGTCTCCTGCGGCATGGAGAGGTGCGGGTGCGGTGCGTGTCTGAGATCCCTGGAATATACCGCCAGGAGTCCTACGACGTCCTTACTACCAGGCAGCCCTACCACGCCTCCGTGCTGGGGGGCGGCGCCACGCCAGGTAGGTACTACCACGCCTCTGTGCTGGGGGATGGCGCCTCGCTAGGTAGGTATTACCAGTTCTAGCACCACTAGCCCCACTAACTCCTGGTTTCGTCTCCCACACAGGTATCAGACCATCTCTGGTCTCCGTGAGTCAAGTGATCGTCTTGGCCCTCCTGCTGTCCCTTCCCCATCTCTGAGTCATCTCTAGCGTCTCTGAGTCATCTCCAGCGTCTCTGAGTCAACTCCAGCGTCTCTGAGTCATCTCCAGCGTCTCTGAGTCAACTCCAGCGTCTCTGAGTCATTTTCAGCGTCTCTGAGTCAACTCCAACGTCTCTGAGTTATCTCCAGCGTCTCTGAGTCAACTCCAAAATCTCTGAGGCATCTATAAGGTTTCTAAATTGTTTCCTGCACATCCGAGACATCTCCAGTATCTCTCACATCTCTGGGTTGTTATTATAATCTCGGACTCACCGCCAGCATCTCTAACTCATCTTCAGCTTCTCTAAGACACCTCCCTGGCCTCTGAATTGCATTGAGAGTCCCTGAGTTATCTCCAAAATTTCGGATTCTTCTCTGCATCTTTGACTCATCCCCTGCTTGAATATCTTTTAACTTTCTCCGAGTCATCTCCAACATATCAGAATTTATCTTCAGCATCTTTGAGTCGTTCATAGTAGATATGAGTCATCTCCAGTAGCCCTGAGTCATCTCCAGTGCTTCTGAGTCATCTTCAAAGGTTCTGAGTCATCACCAGCATTTCTGAGCCATCATCAGTATCTCTGAGTCATCACCAGTATCTTTGAGTCATCTCCAGCAGCCGTGAGTCATTACCAGCATCTTTGACATTTCGTATAAAGAAAAACGAGATTCTAGACTAATAAAAAGAATGATTCAGCTCTCTTCCTTTTACACACACACACACACACATACACACACACACACACACACACACTCTCTCTCTCTCTCTCTCTCTCTCTCTCTTTCTCTCTCTCTCTCTTTCTCTCTCTACTGTGGGCACGGGTGGTTGCCTACAGACCTCTTGAGGGAGGATAATTACACTAGGCTATACATTTTCGTTTATGTAATTGTTTTATTCTACTTTAATACTGAGGACTTGCTGATGATGAACCTGACACTTGTTTTGTCATACTGCCAATAGTTTTGACGAGAAAATAGCGAAATTATTTTATATATAAAATTTTCAGGATTTTGATAAATTTAACAAATATATATTCGTATGTGTTATAACTATGTATATATTTATAGATTTTTGAAGATACTGATCCACAAAATAAACTATAAATATACATAACTGTTATTACTACATGATAATAATGAAAGTTACGAGAAACACAGTCTCATTAATTTCTCCAAAACTATCACGAGTATGACAAAACCATTTCCATATTCGTAACCAGCATGACCTTATTACTATAAAAAAAACATTTACTATATATTACAGAAACAGAAAATATTAGTATTCTGAAGATAAACTTCAAGATATGTCTGGCAATGTTGGATGGGGGAATGTTTGGACTTTGGGCGGCGCACAAGTTCAGTTCAGTCATCGATCAGTGCTGCATGAACTGTCAGCGGGACAATTGCGTCATGGCTATCAAGAGAGCTTGTCGTTTATCCCTAGACTCGTTCTGTTATGCTCGTGGATTACATCGATCCTAGTCAGATCAAGCACAAACCTGTACCTGGCACTAAGTTGTTCATTGTTTAGCATGTTTATTTAAGCATGGCTATGGGTGACCAAGACAATCCTGGTCACTTCACTTCTACTGTGGAAGCTGACGATCAACATTAGAAGGATGGTTACGTGGTACTCGGAAGTGTATCACATTTGACGTTCCTCGACTTTAGAGAGTCAACTAACCATCATGATGACCGTTACTTTTGTATAGTGGATCTATCTAGGAACAGGAAGGGGAAAGATCGAAGAAATATTGTGTATCCGAGCATACCTTCTACTGCGTCCGTGACACACAGTGAACATTGACCAGTTCCTAGTCCAACTTCCTGAGAGACGACTTTAAATGTGGAATTATAATTTTCTGAAGAAAGCGGCGATGGTGACTTTAATGATGCCTGCTCAAGCAAATCTCCACATTTCTCTAATCAACATAAAGTAGATGACTTAGTCGAGGACTTGGGTCTACCCAAGACTAATGCAGAGATCTTGACATCTCGACTCAAGGAGTGGAATTTACTGGATCCTAGTTGCTAGACTTCTACAAACAGAAAAAGTCATCTGACTTTTGCACTTTCTTCAAAGTTTCTGCCTCCAGTTTGTTGTGTTACTGCTCTGACGTGGATCGCCTTTTCAGCGAAATAGGGATTGGGCAAAACCCTTTAGATTGGCGACTATTTATTGATAGTTCAACAATCCATCAATTCCAGTAGGTCACTCGGCTCACGTGGAGGAAGACTATGAATATGTAAAGTATTTGCTGGACATGATCAACTATACAAGGCGCAATTGGGATGACTGTGGAGACTTTAAGATGCTAGAATTCTTGTTTGGACTACAGGGTGGATACACCAAGTATTCTTGCTTCCTTTGTCAGTGAGATGGTAGAGCAGATGACCAGCACTATGTGAGAAGATAAATGGCCTGTTGGATACAATATTAGTAACACTGCTCTCGTCCAAACTGACATTATTTTATTGTCGCCACTTCACAATAAAGCTGGGACTTACCAAGTAATTCATCAAAGAATTGAGTGCTGAAAGTGATGCCTTGAAACATATACGTCTAATGTTCCCAAATTGTCTGAGTCCAAAGTCAAAGGTGGCATGTTTGTTGGACCACAAATTAAACAGTTGTTGATTACAAAGAGTTGGAATGCCTGTCAAGCATTTCGTCATATAGTTCATGGATTCCTGGGCAATAAGAAGTGCAAAAACTACAAAGAGCAAGTCGAAAATTTGATGCAAAATGTCCCTGAAGGTTCACTTTCTACACTCACACGGACTTCTTTAGAGAAACTTTGGGTGAAGTTAGTGAAGAGCAGGTAACCGTTTTCATCAGGATATCTAAACTATTGAGAAGAGATATGAGGGGCGATGGAATGAAGCAATGTTGGGTGACTACATTTGGAGTTTGATTCAAGACGGCCACAAGGATCACAAGAAAAAATGTTCAAATGCTGTAATTGATCAAGCTATAATAATGATATAAGTTTACATTAACAACCATAGGTACAGTATGATAGATTGGTAATTTCTGACACAAATATTGATGCTATAAAAAAGTAACGTCATTTTTTGGAATCAGTGTATTGTACACGAAAACCTAATAAACAATTACGAGAAACACACATGTCGCAAAAAATAAGAAAACAAAAATGTTTCCCAGTGTTATTTACCATCTACATTCTACAGGAAGAGTTCACAAGAATCTACGCTCTTGCTTGCAAAAATCTGTCCATGTTATTTAAATGCAAAGATCAAGTTTCTTCATTGCAAGGGATGAAAGATCCTATATTCAAAGAAACCAAGTGGGTCTGATTGCAACGACTCATATCTCTTCCATGCAACAATGCACATCAAAGCAGCTGCCAGCAAGGGTTCTCTAAGTGCAGCCATTTATATACTGCTTGCAAAGACCCACGACTGAAAAGACCCCCCCACACTCCATAGATGCAACGACCTTATTCCTAATTGCAACAACCCACTTCCCCATGCACCGATCCACACCGTTTCACACCATGCAACAACCCATGACTCCATATTGCAACGACCCACAACTCTTTATTGCAACGACCCACGACTCCTTATTGCAACGACCCACGACTCCTTATTGCAACGACCCACAACTCCTTATTGCAACAACCCACGACTCCTTATTGCAACGACCCACGAATGCTTATTGCAATGACCCACGACTCCTTATTGCAACGACCCACGACTCCTTATTGCAACGACCCACGACTTCTTATTACAATGGTCCATACCCTGATTCCAATGAACCACACCCCCCTGATTAAAACGGCTCATACCCCTGATTGCAATGAACCACACCCCCTGATTGCAATGAACCACACCCCCTGATTGCAACGGCCTACATCCTGATTGCGAGGATCCGTGATTCACTGATTTGCTTTTCCGGTATGTAAATGACCTTCAGGGCCACACCTTCCACGTTTTGAGAGGGAGAGGGAGAGGTGAGAGGGGAGAGGGGGGAGGAATGAGAGGCATGGGGGGAGGGAGGGAGGGGAGGAGGATGAGAAAGAGAGGGAAAAAGAGATGATCGGGAAGGAGGATGAGAGGGAAGAAGGGACGGGTGAGAGGGGGAGGAGGGAGGAGGAGAAGGAGATAAGGAGAGGCGAGAGGGAAGGAGGGGAGGAGGAGAAGAAGGAATGAGAAGGAAGGAGAAGGAGGAGGGGAAAGGAGGAAAGGGGAAGAGGGATGGAAACGTATGGAAGGGTGGAGGAATGAGATGGAGGGAGGGATGAGAGTGGAGGGGTAGAGGGAAGGATGGGGGTAAGAGAGAAGGGGGAGAAAGGATGAGAGAGAGAGAGAGAGAGAGAGAGAGAGAGAGAGAGAGAGAGAGAGAGAGAGAGAGAGAGAGAGAGAGAGAGAGAGAGAGAGAGAGAGAGAGAGAGAGGTTTTAAGCAAGGTAACCATGGTTTTTGAGGGTGGGTTGTGTGGGGGGTGGGTGGTGGGGATGTTTGTGTGGGCTGTGGGTTGTTTGGGTGGGTGGTTGGTGGATCATCTGCTGGTCTTTGTTACTGAATATTTCATCATCATCGTCAGACTTTCCCCTATTTATTATTCTATTTTTAATCTCTATTTTTATCCATTTGTCTTAGTTACCCCAAGTCACTCTTTATAATGAGTCTTTATCACCTCTCTCTCTCTCTCTCTCTCTCTCTCTCTCTCTCTCTCTCTCTCTCTCTCTCTCTCTCTCTCTTCCTATCTCTCTCTCTCTCTCTCTCTCTCTCTCTCTCTCTCTCTCTCTCTCTCTCTCTCTCTCTTCTCTCTCTCTCTCTCTCTCTCTCTCTCTCTCTCTCTGAAGGTACAGAACAAAACAGAAAGTCTGAAGATTAAGGAAAACAAAAAGTTGACTAAAATGCAGCCAATGACTCAGATGAAAGTACTAATTTAGAGAGGGTGTTGAGTCATGAACATGGTGACTCAGAGAAGGTGGTGACTCAGAGAATATGGTGACACAGAGAAGGTGGTGACTCAGAGAATGTGGTGACACAGAGAAGGTGGTGACTCAGAGAATATGGTGACACAGAGAAGGTGGTGACTCAGTGAGGGTGGCGACTC